CTAGTCCTCTGTTATGCCATACGGAACCGTTTGCCACTGAAACTGCTTAACGCACCAGTGGGGCTCGACAGCCTTTTAGACAAACGGGTCGGCGCGTATGGTTGGGTTGCGAAGAGTTCAGGTTACGGAGAGTTTGTGAGTTATAACGGAAATCATTATGAACATCAGCTATGCTAATTATTTCCCATCTGCCTTTCTGCTGTTATCTCGGGACGCTTGTCCCGAGAAAAATGGCGTTCGTCAGGTCCAGTTTTGTGTCCAGCCTCTCACGGGGATTTCGGATGCCCCAACGCCTGTGATGAGACGACTCAACGCCTGTGAAGAGACGACTCAACGCCTGCGATATGTTATGGCGCCGTTTGATTCATAAACAATATTTATATTTAATATTTATATTTAAACAATATGAATGTAAGCCAGAGGAGAACTGGCCCCCGACTGAGCCTGGGTTCTCCCAAGGTTTTTTCTCCATCCAATCTGATGGAGTTTGGTTCCTTGCCACTGTCGCCTTGCTTTTGGCTTGCTTTGAGCTTGCTCAGTTGGGGTTATTTAGTGTTTAGCAATGTTGTTGATCTGTGTTGTGCTACTTTCATGTTATCAGTGTGAAGCTGCTTTGATACAATCTGTATTGTGAAAAGCGCTATATAAATAAATGTGACTTGACTTGACTTAAAGCCCAAAAACAAGCTACAGAAGCAAAGAGAATCAAAACTGTTCAGAATATATCATATGCTCAAGCAGTCAAACAAGTTCAAGTGACTAATGGAGATTTGATTGAAAATAACATAACCCAGTCTAAAGATAGGCTACTTGTAGTCATAAGTGTCTTGAGGACGGAAACATACTTGTGATAAGCAAAATTAATTTTGTAGCTTTTATTGCTGAAGTCATTAATTGTTCAGCTCAAACAGACAAAAGAACAGAAAAGCTGAAAATTATAATATCTGCAGCTGCCAGACATCTGGGTATTACTGAAGTGTCTGTGGAACAGATTCAAACGATACTTGGACAAACTGACGGAACAGTAGGGATGGGTGATCCCTCGGGAAGTCAAAGAGGTAAAAAATAAAATATGAAAATTTTACAATGGAATGCTAGAAGTTTGATTGCGAATGGACAAGAATTTAAAAGATTTGTATATCAGCTTGCAGGTTTAACTGATATTTTATGCATTCAGGAGACTTGGCTTCGTCCACAATTAAATTTTAGCATTCCTGGCTACAATTTGGTTAGAAAGGATAGAGTTGGTACAAACGGTGGAGGATGTGGGACATTTGTTAAAGAGGGGGTAGCTTTTAGAGAAATAATAGACGCTCCAGGGGAATGTGTGATTGTAGAAGTGTGGACACAGGGAGGGGGATTAAAGGTAGTAAACTTTTATAACCCTTGCAATCAGTTATTATTAGAGGATCTAAATAAAATAAGGAGCAAAGCTGGGGACAATGTTATATGGTGTGGGGATTTTAATGCACATAACTCACTTTGGGGAAGTTTATGCACAGATAATAATGGAAGGATTGTAGAAGAGTTTATGGAGGAATTTGGTCTAGTGTGTTTAAATAATGGGAAGGGTACTAGATACAATATTAGGGAGTCACCAACTTCTTGTATAGATGACTATATGTTGTTGATCTGCGTTGTGCTACTTACATGTTATCACTGTGAAGCTGCTTTGATACAATCTGTATTGTGAAAAGCGCTATATAAATAAATGTGACTTGACTTGACTTGACTAGATCTAACTATAGTCTCTGGAGCTATAGCTTTGGATTGTCAATGGGAAGTTCAAGATCAATCAACATTAGGAAGTGATCACTTTGCAATAACATGTGATGTGGGATTGGAAATTTATCAGCAAAATAAAATAGTGCAAAATAGATGGAGGTTTGATAAAGCTGATTGGGATAAATTTAACAGTTTTTGTAATGATGGATTTAAGAATTTTAGCTTAGAAGATGATATAGACCTGTGTACAGAACGATTAAATGCAATTATTATAAAGGCAGCTGAAGAATCCATTCCTAAATCAGAAGGTATAGGCAGGTTGAAAATTGTTCCGTGGTGGAATGATGAGTGCACTAAAGCCGTTAAAGATAGAAATAAAGCATTTAGAGAGTTAAAGACAACCTTAATACCCATAACTTTAATTATATATCAGAGGAAACGGGCTCTAGCAAGGAAGATAATAAAGCAGGCAAAAAGGAAGTATTGGCAATCATTCTGCTCCACTATAGGAAGGGAAACCCAACTAGGAGAGGTATGGTGTGTCCTTAAAAAGATGGTTGGTGTTTATAGAACTCTGAATATTCCAGTCATAGGTGATGAAGGGAAAACAGCAGTGACGGAAGAAGAAAAAGCGGAAATGTTAGCTTCCACCTTTCAAAAGGCTCACAGTTCAGATAACATAGGAATAAATTCTAGGATAAGGAGGGAAGAAATTTTAAAGCAACATTAAGATATTTATACAAAAAGAATTGACAGTCAAACAGCTTTGGATGCTGCCTTTAATATGTGGGAACTTAAAAGAGTAGTAATGAGGGTTAGAAATACTGCCCCTTGAAAAGATAGAATGTGTTATAGTATTAAACAGATGGATGAAGTAACACTTAAAGTATTATTGGATCTTTTTAACAAAATTTGGAAGGAAGGACAACTACCGTTATCCTGGAAATAAGCTATAGTAATCCCTATTCAAAAACCAGGGAAAGATTCAGCAATTGCTGGAAATTATAGGCCGATAGCTCTGACGTCTAACCTTTGTAAAGTAATGGAAAAAATGATTGTTAATCGACTTCATTACGTGTTAGAAAGCAAAGGATTAACAACTCCTTATCAGTATGGTTTTCGATCAGGTAGATCCACTTTAGACGCATTAATAAGATTAGAAACGGATGTTAAAAAGGCTTTAGCAATGAAAGAGGTGTTAGTGGCAGTATACTTTGACATTGAAAAGGCATATGATATGATGTGGAGAGAAGGACTGCTTTTAAAGTTGCAAAGAATTGGAATTGAAGAAAGATTTTATAATTGGGTTTTAAGTTTCTTATTTGGACGTTCGATTCAAGTCAAGGTAGTCAATTCATTATCTCAGATGGTGAATGTAGAAAACGGAACACCTCAGGGAAGTGCCATAAGTCCTGTATTATTTAACATAATGATCAATGATATATATGTAGGAATGCATCCAGGAATTAAAACAGCATTATATGCAGATGACGGAGCAATTTGGAAGAGGGGAAGAAATGTTAAATATATAGTGAAAAAAATACAAGAAGCAATTGAGAATGTTGAGAAATGGTCAGTGGAATGGGGATTTAGATTCTTTATTTCCAAAACGTGCTGTCAGTTTTTTACTAAAAAGAGGATTTCAGAAAATATTAAACTTTGTTTATATAAACAGCCACTAGAAAGGGTAACACATTTTAAATATTTAGGTTTATGGTTTGACTCAAAATTGACTTGGAAAATTCATATCAAATATATTGAAGAGAAATGCAGCAAAGTACTAAATCTAATGAGATGTATAGTAGGCCAAGAATGGGGGACTGATAAACAATCTTTAATCAATATATATTGTGCTCTATTACGATCCATTTTGGATTATGGATGCATTATTTATGGATCAGCATCAATTAGTATGCTAAAAAGGTTAGACGTAATTCAGGCTCGAGCTTTGAGATGCATCACTGGAGCAATTAGAACAACTCCAATCTCAGCAATGCAAGTGGAAACAGGAGAGCCCCCATTAGAAATAAGACGTCAAAAATTATCTGTTGCTTATTGGATCAATTTACTTGGGCATAAACAGGATCATTTTACAAATACAATAATAGAGGGGAGTGCAAAGGAAAGGGCTACAGAAATGTCGCTAAATTATATATCATTTTCATCAACGACTACCATTTCTCCAATATCCCCCTGGTTGTTTACCCAACCTGAAGTTGATCTACAAATTCATGAGAGTGTTAAAAAAGGACAATTTGATATTAAGAGCTATACAATTGAATATTTAAGAATAGTTTATTTCTCATTTCTTCCTGTATACACAGATGGATCAAGAAACCCAGAGATAGGTCGTACTGGATCAGCATTTTATGTTCCTGAATTTAAAATAGAGAAATATGGAAGATTAACAGATGGTACTTCTGTGTATACAGCGGAATTGGTGGCACTTCAGATGGCGCTTAGTTGGGTGGAAGAAGTGATGCCAAATAGAGTTGTTATATGTTCAGATTCAATGACTCACTTATAAGCCTACAAACATATCAAACAGTACTTTTTTACATATCAATACTGAATATGTTGTATCGATTAAGGCAAACTGGAACAATAATAAAATTTGTTTGGGTACCAGCACATGCAGATATTCCAGGTAATGAAAGAGCTGATAGAATGGCTAAAGAATCACTTAAATTGAACATTCCTACTACAGTTGCATTAAGCAGGATGGAAGGGAAGAGTATTATTAAAGCTGCCTGCAACCAGAAATGGCAAAGAAAGTGGAATGAATGTAAAACAGGAAGACATTGTTATAATCTACATAATACTGTAAGACAAAGTATATTGACACAAAATTTAAAGAGAGAAGATCAGGTTATTTTAACAAGACTAAGGATGGGACATACAAAACTTAATTCAACACTTCATATTATAGGGAAACATGGTACTGGTTTATGCAAAATATGCCAAGTAAAGGAAACAGTTGAACATGTGTTGTTATTTTGTTCCAGGTATGAACTGGAAAGAAAGGATTTAATAAGTGAACTAAAGGAAATGGGATGCAAAGAATTTACAATCAATAACATATTGAACACAAAACAAGGATCCAGGGAAATTGTAAGGTCAGTTTTAAAATTCATAAAGAATAGTGGTCTTAGGACTAGAATTTAGTCATCTTTTAACATACTTCTAGACTGAAATCACTTCACAGTCCAGCACAGGTGGTGGCGGTATGCACCACAAAGTTGGTATGCAACCCGCCAATAAATCCATAGAAGAAGAAGAAGAAGAGTGACGTATCAAGCGGATGAGGATTGAGATCTGATGTTCGTGCTGGTCATATCGTACGCTTAAAACAGATAATACTACAGGTATGTGTAAAATATAAGTATTAAATTATTTAATTAATGTTAATTTTATTCCGAGTGCAGTTATCGGGCAGGTTAGAGAGTGAAATGTTTTCGGTCATGAGTTTACGGAGGTGGAAGGATAATCGCTGATATTATGAGATCCGAGTGACTAAAATAAGGATGACATCAATTAAAAATTTTAACTTATTCTCCATAATGAACATCACAAGTTATGTATTCTTCAACTGTAATTTTATAGAGGCCTAACTGATGATTATAGCTGTGTAGCATGGTAAGTTAGCTGGCCTGCTAATAACAGAGCTCGGAGTATTTACTTGCATCACAAAATCATTTAATTCAGACAGTAGTGCATTTAATACATATTCACTATATTTACAGACTTAAATATTGATGACCATTTATAATTTAAATGTTTTAATGAGATGGAATTTGTGTTCTAAAATTTCCAGTTTCCAATTTTTCCAATTACAAAAAAATATCTAACCAGCAGATGGTAAAAATATGCATCAGACACCTAGATCAATATCCAGAAACAACTCGTATATAAATTTGATCATCATTAATGTGTTTTTTCCATAAAAATGTAATATTTCATATTTATGCTAATACTGTAGTTGAGGAATTCTCCAGTAAATAGGTACAAAAGTACTTCATATCCCCCAAAACACAGCATAAAAATATAGATGAGAAGTAACTGAAAAAAATGATATATAATTTGTATTATTAAAATGTATATTTTTTGTACAATATCTCTATGCATCTTTGGGGTCATATAGACCCCAAATGCACTAAGTGTAAACAGGAAACTAAGACCATATGAGTATTAAGTTCACTTTAGACTGTGTTTACGTGGATGCTTGTCAAAACAGACATTTTTACAAAATAGGCCTTTATCTCACTTACGTGTTTGAAAAGCAGAAGCTTCAAATAGGAGCGCAATCAATCGTTGTGCCCATAGCACAGGATTGTTGTGATTTGTTCATGTAAAATTCAGCACAGATACTTCTAAAGACACCAACCCCAGTTTACAATCATTAACTGAGTATTGTGAAACAAAGAAAAAAAGGTGTCTTAATATTCCAAGAATTTCTGATGCATATTTTGTGATTTAAACAAGGGTTCCTATAATGCTTTATCAACTTTAGTTAGTTTGTAATGTTGCTGTTTGAGCATAACAAAGATCACAAGATCTGGAAAAAAAACTCTGTAACCTTAAAGAAGTCATAAGGTTAATCATTTAAATAATCTCCGTCCTAGAGAAGATGAAAAAAGAAATGTACAAAAAAGTACCACTCTGAAACATTCTTTGAAATTAGTGCTTGCAAAGTCCATGCTTGAAATCTATTCTGCATGATCCTCTTTTTCATTTAACATTGTCAGGGTCTGAATTGATGCCATCCTTAATTATCAACACCAGAGCTGAATTCACTATTATGAAGGGGCATGACATTTCCAAATGTGGACTAAGCGGTGCCAAATCCGTTCACAACACACCGGGCCTGCTAACCAATCACAGCATATTTTGTATTTCGGAAGGAGAGGCTTCATCGAAAACGCCTTGTTCAACCAGACTGCTGAGAGAAGAGCTGTAATAATGTAAAATATGTGAAAAGTAATGTTTTTTTTTAACAATCAAGCATGAAAACATTGTAGTATGCCCCAAAAACAAGACTTTGTAAAAGGGCAAGTAGGACCCATGTTATATATAATTGAACATAATAATAAAGTGTAAAATTAGGGCATTGTCATGTCGCCGGAAATAGTCATCAACTGTTCTAATGTGTAGTTAGGGTTAAGTTTGTATGTGTCTGACAGTTCATTAAGATTTAAAGTTTAATTGACAAAATGGCAGATAGCAACAAGGTTTCTTAGCGCAGCAATTTGATTGATTTATCTGTTGTAAGGTCAATTCTAATGCCAGTATCTGTTCTTGTGATATAGCTTTCAGATGTCTGAGCATGTCTATGAGAAGTTCCTTGCTCCAGAAGAGCCTTTTCCACTGCTTTCACAGGGAGGAAACTTCAGTGAAAATGCCACACTGGATATTAGTGACTTTGGGTGTCAGTTGTCATCATGTCACCGAACAGACCCTTTACACCGCTTTCACAGCAGCAGGTAAGTGACTGGTTATTAGGCAGGAGTTTATTATGGTGCTTTTCTGTTTATTTGGCTCGCTTTTCGCTCCGTTTTCCTTTGTAGACAGTACCGCCACAAATAGTACCCTGTCATCATAGCGACACCTTTCGTTCCTCGTTGCCCCATCAAGCTCTCGCTGGATCCTCTCTTCGGAAACCAAACAAAGGAAAGTCTGCACCTCCTCGTTTGACCACGGCGTCTTCTTCCAAGTTGCCACAATTATATTAAAAGGGTGGTTGATTGCGATTTCACTTGCCCGAACGTTTCTTGTCTGATCATAATTACTCCTCAATGGATCGAGTCCAGACCGAACTTCCCGACCAAAAAATGTTGTGGGCGGAGTTCGGGCTGGCATCCAGGCTACAAGAAAGTGGTATTAAAACATGAAGCAGTTCCAACTTTAAAACCAGAGGCAGCAGTTGTTGGGCCACAATCTGTAAGTAGGCTAAGACTTAATCATTTTAAAGTCCCTGTAAAGTCAATTCTACAAAAAAGTTCTAAACACATTATAAATGTTACATATGTATTGCTAAAACATATTACAAAGTCTGTGAACTGTGAAGTACTGAAATGTGGAGTTAGACCGTTAAACAGTTTTTCACCATTGCAATTTTACGGATTAATTGGCCGGGGCTAAAACAGGGCTCCGTGACGCACTGGAACCCATGAGCTGCTGGACACCCCCCTATTTGATGACGCACTGAGTCTGATCTCCCCCTCTCCACACACACTCCCCAAACACATTCGCATTCACCGCTCAATCGCGAGTGACTGTCAGTACTATTAGTTACTACAGCTGAGCCTATAGTTTTCTAGCTAGCTATGCCTTCGACACGGACATGCATGGGTTACTACCTGGATGCGATCATGTACAAAACAGATCGGTATCTTCATTTAAATTCCCTTAAAAACGATCACATCAAGAAGAGGTTTTTAGAGAGCCTAACGTTACCTTGATGAAGAGCTGAGGATCACCCCCAACACCCGCCTCTGTAGTGATCATTTTACACTGGATCGTTTTATAAACTTTCCTCAGAGACAACTTGGATTCACTGATAATTCACTGATAATCCGCTGTTACTGGTGAACGGGGCTGAAACGACGATCTCCCGCCTCAGCTTTCATTCTCCCGTCTCCAAAAGCTAATCAGCTAATATCACCGTTAACAGCTTTCCCGTGAGTGGGCGTGGTTTCAGCACAGCCAGCGGACACGCCCCCAGCCTTTGAGAGCAGAGAATCTGCTCATTTTTTCATGATTTTGATAGCTTATTTTATGTACTTATAATTTCAGACCTAATGTTTCAGTTTTATCAAATACCTGGCTTTATATAATAAGCTGGCTTTATAGCCACTTAGTTATGCTTAATTATGATTTCGTGTCTACGACAAACGCGTACAAACATTTTGGACCTGAATTTGTATATGTACTAATTTTTTAAATATATTTTTCATATACTTTATGAAGTAATTTTTGAATTTGATCAAGAACGTAAACCAATGCCAATGCTGTTCGTGTATATAGCCAGTTAGTTTGATGCAATTTTGTGTAAGACAAACGTGTATAAAGTTAAAAAATTATATGTTTTTAACTATGTAATTGCAGCAAACTGCAGCTCTTGTTATCAGTGTACAGTATGCTTTTAACACAATTGCCACATGTAGACTACACCTAAATAAAACGATACACTCAGTAAACTGAGTTTTGTGAATAGATTTTAACTAGCGTTCTGTTTAATTTTTCCTGACCGCCAGAGATGATGCTAAAAACTAGTGGATGATTCATATCAACGTACTCATGAGGAAAGCCACCCACTTGCAAACATCAGGGTTGCACCAGAAGGACTGCAGAGCTCACATCATGGGCAGCAGCCACGTTAACCTTGTAGAGCTGCGCGAAGGTTCATAGTGAAGATCAGGTAGCAGCTTCGCAGACACTGCCAATGACACTCCCTATAAAGTGGCTTAAAGGTGCAATGTGTAAAAAAGATGAGTATCTATTAACAGAAATGCAATATGACATCCATAACTATGTTTTCAGTGGTGTATAAAGAACTTACTTAATTAACCGTAATGTTTTTATTACCTTAGAATGAGACATTAATAGCTCCATAACCGCGGGAATCCCTTTCTATTAGGGATGTCCCGATCCGATACTCAGGATCGGTATCGGCTCCGATCCAGCCATTTTTGCGGGATCGGGTATCGATCAGACGAGGCCGATCCAAATCCGATATTGTGTGTATACTATTATGTTATTGTTAAGCCCCACAGAAGGCACAAAACATTCTAAAGTACCATAACGTTTTCGTGCACTCTATTATAAGTGTTCTGAAGCCATTATGTGAGAGAGAAATTAATATTTAAGTCATTAAATTTAAGATCACGTAAACTTTTCCCTCTCGCGGCTGTCAGTCATTCTCCATTCAGCAATCAGCACTCAAAACTAGGGATCGACCGATATGGATTTTTTAGTGCCGATACCGATACCGTTTTTTTTCCCATCAGCCTTAGCCGATGACCGATACAGGCTGCCGATTTTCTTGAGCCGATATTTGGAGCCGATACATTTTGCTCCCTCAATTTACATCTTAAAAATAACATGATGTGTTAACAAATGTTACAGGTCTCAATTTAATAAAAGTAACATTTAACTAACTTCAAAAATTAATATTTAACAAATAGTAAAAACATGTGAGGTAGAACAAGAACAAGTAGATAAACAATTTAAAAAATATTAAAAACATGAAGTAGAACAAAAAAAGTTCAGTGCTGAAAATTAATATTTAAGCATAAATTAAATAATTACACTATTGCACACAGTAGCAACCAGCATAATAAAGTGCACAGTGCACACTGTTCATTTTAAAAGAAACGAACTATGTACTGCATGGTTTCAATTTTCCTACATAAAATAAAATGAGCATGTCTAGTCTCTAATATAGATACAGTCGGTTGGTCTGGGAACGCCCCCGGGAACGCCCCGTCACGTGGTGTGAATTTAGCCCGTGGGGGAAAACATTGCCTTGGCGCTCATTGAAATACATGGGACAATCATGCCGAAGAGTTGCGGTGTCGTTTTCTGTACCACCAATAAACTAACAAATTATAAATTGAAGTTCTACAGCCTTTCTTACAAACATACAGAACCGGATAGGAGGACAACATGGCAAAATTAATCATATCTTATTAGATTACTGTGTGAGTAGAGGTCCCTGTGTGATATAGTAGTAGATGTTTAACTCGTATTAGGCAGTGGGCCAGATTTGTCTGACTTTACATCCCTTACGAAAAAGAACTATAGTAATCCTATGGCTATTAGTATTCTATAGTAGTGTATAATACTTCTGTGATGTTCTTTAATACCTATACTTCTAGGCTATGTCCCAAAATACTATACTATTCCTATAGGATTAACGTTACTATAATATTTTGTCCTAAAATACTACAAGATTCCTTTAGTTGTTTTTCATAAGGGATGTCTCAGTCACATTAGCGTTATCAGCTGAAGGTTATCAGACTGCAGTCTGTGAGAATTCGGATAACTGTCAGCAAAGTCCCTCTGCAACTTCGTAGCTACTACTACTGATCACCGTTTTACAAAAGGATTAATAGTTTGGAGTGAAGCATACGTACAATTGGTAAGTGACATGGTTTTATGGACTTATAGTAACTTATACGCAAGTTGATTGAGTAATAGGCTTGTGTTGCAGCTTCCGCATTGTCTGGAGATTCAACCAGATATAATAGTCTGGAAACGACACCTCCGGCCATTTGGTTGGGTCATTGACCCAGTTTTTAATTAAATAAGGGCAATCATAACCTATTAGAGTTAATTTTGCAATGTACCGTTGCCGGTCGGCAGGCATAAATGACTCGCAATATGACATTTTTGTCATTCAAATACATAGGATGGTCGCGCTGCTCTCCCCCACGCCGACCACGCCCCCCAACAATGACGCGTTGCCGACTGTATCTATTACTGCGATTGCGAGGGAGACAAACTCCACACGCCCCAAACCTCAGCCAGGTGAGCGCTGAATAAATCTCCCACAAAAAGCACAGAATAACGTTGGCATTCCTTAATCCTATGACCAGAGTTCGTTACCGTATGCATACTAGGGCTGTCAAAATTGCTCAAATGGCGTTTGCAAATTCCCTCTAAAAAACATATTCGAACATCCCGTTGCGCGTTTTGTTGTTGACGCGCATTACATCAATAACAGGACACATTAATAAAAAGAGACATAACTACTAGTATTAGATGGTTTATTTGAGTTTAAACATATTTCATAACGTATTAAAAAGCAAGTAAATCAACTAATGGCCAAGACCGCAGAGCTCACTCTGTCTCGCCCTGGACTCGCTCAGGCACTCTCTCTCTCTCTCTCTCTCTCTCGCCCTCACGGTCTCTGCGCGTCGATTAAATGAACAACAAACAAATGTTGAGTGCTAAACAAGAGTTTTGTGCAAGCAATTTAAGGTTGCGATTCGCGACTCTTGTCCCAAATATAGCAGGCTTCAGTTCATTCAGTGATTGAAGTTTCACAGTATAGAACCGACAGTGAGCGCTCCGAGCGAGCTGTGCAGCTGTGGTAACGTTATTAGTATGCAACCGCGGGCGTGTTTTTCCACATTCAAATATTAATTTTCACCTTCAAAATTAATAGATATTCGAATGTAGAATATTCATAGACAGTCCTAATTCATACTGAACGGATAACCTACACCTTAACTATTTGCAGCTTCTTAATACAATGGCAAGCAGTTAAGTTTTATAGACGAGGCATTCGCGTTTTCCATTTGGACCCACAAACTTGCTTAGTTGCAAGCACATAACAGTTATAGGGCGACGTGTTTCCATTTTCAAAGTGTTTGACAATATTTCAGGAGTCAAACATTTAAAAGATCCTTTGAAAGTTTAAGTTACCATTCTCGTGAAGAGCAGGTTGCACTCTGCTAGTGGAGGAGGGCGGGGCACGTGAACTGCAGCATCTCCAGCAGCACGGAGCTGCCCGTGGCCGCCTGTCTATAAATAACGGCGGGAAAAAAAAAACTATCGGCGAACGCGCAGCGGTGTATCGGCCGATTCCGATACACGTAAA